TGGATAAACTGAAGGCTAAGTGAATGGAAGGACCGATTGACTGACTGTTGCATAAAAAATGTTTTAGAGTTACGACATACATTGATAAATTAATAGATCAAGTAATCGATTGAATGAATGAATGAATGAATGAATGAATGAATGAATGAATGAATGAATGAATAAATGATTGAATGAACGAATGAATGAACCAACGAACGAATGAATGAATGAAAAAAGAAGGAATAAATAAAAGGTAAACAAAAGTTTGGTGCCAGACAGTTTTTAATATCTTCCTTTCTTTCTTATTATTTCCATTTTTAAAGAGCTTTTTAGCAATCACTATTTATATTTTTTGGTAACGAGTAAATTTTTTTTTAATCTATGAAATGATAATATTAATACTTTAATTATGGAATTATTATTTTGCATTTATTGCGAAATATTATTTAAAAATAAGTAGACATTTATTCGTTATCAATATTTTAATTAGAATAGAAGTAGCAACAGTTGATGTACAATCACTTGTAGTGAAACCAGAATTAGTAGTAGTAGTAGTAGTAGCAGCAGTAGTAATAGTATAGTAGTAGCAGTAGTAGTAGTAGTAGCAGCAGTAATAGTAGCAGTAGTGTGATAGAAGTATTAGCTGGAGTAGCAGCACAAAATAAAAAACAAGCGTTTTACTGTGGTAAAAAATGCAACTGTTCTATAGATAGAAGTACATATTTCAATTAAAAAGTCTCGTTAGAACTAATTACAGCAACAACTACACACACAAATACACACAGACACATACACACAAATGCACACACGCACACAAATGCACACACACGTACAAATACAGAGCAGCATCGTCATCAAGCTCGTGGTTGTCATAATTCATCATTGCTTTAATCATCATTAACAGCACTATGGTCGTTATCGTCATCATCAACTCTTGCAATTGTCAACATTGTTGTTGATATGACGTCATCATATCATATCGTATAGCGATGACGTCATCATCATCATCGCCATTTTCACCATCACCATCATTGTCATAATCCTCAATTCATCCAACATCCTCGTCTTCATCATCTTTTCCTCATATTATCTGCCTCGCCACCATCGTCGTCACCAACATCATCGTCACCAACATCATCGTCACCAACATCATTTTCAACATCTTCAGTGCAACATTACTTCTATGTAGCAACATTAAAATCGTTGAAACTGCAACAACATAAACACGTATCAACAACAACAACAACAACAACAGAAAGTGTGCACGTATTGATTTCAAAAACAACAAAAATATGACATCAGTTTCATTGAAGGTAGCATTAGACATCAACGAACAACGTACATACACACAACATACAAACTGTTGTTTGTATGTTGTGTGTATGTACATACATGTACATACATATGTACATACATGCATACATACATACATGCATTCATACATACAAACAGCATTCGAACAATACCACAGGCATACAATCTGCAACAAACACACCCCGAAATACAAAGATACAAACAAGGAAATGCAAACAATCAAACATCAACAAAGATACAAACAACAAAGATACAAACAAACACACCCCGAAATACAAAGATACAAACAAGGAAATGCAAACAATCAAACATCAACAACGATACAAACAAACGACAAAGATACAAACAAACAACAAAGATACAAACAAACAACATAGATACAAACAAACACCAACAAACAACGAAAACATTCATCTGTTTATAATAATGTCGCGTCTGAACGCTACTATAGCAACGATCACTGCAATGCGGCAAAGAGCAGCATCCAATCAGAAATTGCTTAGCTGCCTGTTAGGTCTATGTTTACTATGTCTATGCATAAATATATAGATACATGTGCATAGATAAATATGTATATGTGTGTGTGTATGTATGTATGTATGTATGTTTGTATGTATGTATGTATGTACGTACGTATGTATGTATGTATGTACGTATGTATGTTTGTATGTATGTACGTACGTACGTACGTACGTATGTATGTATGTATGTATGTATGTATGTATGTATGTATGTATGTATGTATGTATGTATGTATGTATGAAGATGTATGTATGTATGTGTGTGTGTATGTATGAATGTGTGTATGTATGTATGTATGAAGATGTATGTATGTGTGTGTGTATGTATGTTTGTATGTATAATAGAGTGTATGTGTATCTTAATATATACATACCCATCATGTATAAATATATAATTGCATTTACTTAAATACATTAGTGTGTTTATATTGTATATGCTTATATATATTATATATATATCTCTTTTTTTGTTTCTTTTGTATATATTCATATATATATATATATATATATATATATATATATATATATATATATATATATATATATATATGAATATACACACGTATGTATGTATGTATGTGTTTGTTTATGCGTGTGTATGTGTGTGTTTTTGTGTGTGTGTAGATGTGTGCGTGCGACATGAAGCCATGCATAATAAATGTGCAGAGATGAGAGTTGAATAATAATAATTAATTACAACAAGAAGAAACATGCGAGTAAGCACCAACCAGCACCACAATGATATCTCTTTCATTCGTTCACTAGCTCACTCTTTGTTTCTTTCGTTCATTCATTCGTCTGTTTGTGTGTTCGTTCGTTCGTTAGTTTGTTTGTTTGTTTGAGTTTGTTTGTCCGAGTATAATTCATCTGTTCATTTATTTGTTTGCTTGCATTTTCAGTCGTTGGTCCGTTAGTTCATAAATTTGTCAGCTTTTGTCAGTTTTTTTAGTTTTTATCAGTCATTTCTTCATTTATTTATTCATTCATTAACTGATTCATTTCGTCTTTCGTTCATTCATTCATTCGTTTGTTCATTCGTTCATCCTCTGATTTAATCTTTCTTTCGTTCGTGCATTCCTTCGTTCATTCGGTTATTCATTCATTTGATCAATCTTTCAACCAACTTTTCTTCATCAACGTCATCGAAATTAATAATAATAATGATTAATATTATTATTGTTGTTGTTGTTTTTATTATAATTATTGCAGTTTTTTCTTACTAAGTTTATCGCAGTCATTATTGTTGATATAATTACTGTCAAGTTCATCACTAAAGGTTGTTAACGTGTTGTTGCTGTTGTTGTTGCTGTCGTTGCTGTTGTTGTTGTTGGTTATATTTGTTGTTGATTTAGTGTTTTTATTATTATTGTTATTGTGTTATTGTTGTTCTTATCATTTAAATTATTATCATTATCGCTAATTCCATGAATGTTCAATTGGGAAAGCGCAATAAGTTAGAGTTGCAAATTATTGACAAACAATGTCGGCTTTGAAACATTTGCTCACGCACGCACGCACGCACGCACACTTACACAAACTCACACACAAACACTCAAAAACATCACACACATTCACAAATACTTGAGATATACGCAAACATCCACATATACACACACACAAACACAACACACATTCAAGCACAGACACACATACAACAGGAGAGAGGCTAACTTAACTATTGATCGTGCAATGAACACTTTTTTCTGTGCATGTGTGTTTGTATGTGTATGTATGTGTGTATTTGTATGTGTTTGTATGGTGTATGTATGTGTGTACTTGTATGTGTTTGTATGGTGTATTTGTGTTTGTATGTGTTTGTGTGCGTGTCTGTGTATGTGAGTATATATATATATATTAACAACCGGTTGTCTATGTATGTATTTGTTTATATAAACACGTATCCATAATTAATATATAAATACAAAAATATGCGTTTTGTTTTGTGTGCGTGTGTGTGTGCGTGTTTGTGTGTTTGTGTGTCTGTATGTGCGTGTTAAATATCGAGTGTGCCAGCGCAGTTGTTTCAATTGCATGTTAAGCGCACACTTGTTATGTTGTGCCTTCTTTTGTATCCAGTTGTTTTTCTCCTTCATCCATTCATTTATTCCTTCCTTTTGCTTTGGCTCGTTTTTGATTCTTTTTTCCTTCTTTCTATCGCTTTCTTTCTTTCTCTCCCTTTCTCTTTCTCTCTCTTCTTGTTTCACCATCTCTTTTTCTATGGCAAATAGAATAAAGAGTTTCGCGAAACCAAATAATTAACTATCGCTAGCCTAGGTATCATCTCAACATTACATCACATACATACATTCGTCACGTACATACATTCATCACATACATACATTCATCACATACATACAATCATCACATACATACATTCACAACGTATATAAGTTCATCACATACATACATTCGTCACATACATACATCACATGTAACACCATATAATATTAAATCAAATGAATGCAATGAATAACACATTCAGGTCATTATCATCTCCAGTTTCACTGATGTTAATTAATTGTTTGATTTTTATTGCTCTTATCAATGTTAGCAATTTTACTCTTTTTCTTTCTTTCTCATATTATTATTATTATTATTATTATGTTTATTCATTTATTATTTATTTTTTTATAAGTACACCCGAACGTATATTTCTGAAGAGAGCGCCAAAGGCCAAATAAATATACATATGCATGTACATACATGTATGCACACACACACACACACACACACACACACACACACACACACACACACACATACATACATACATACATACATACATACATACATACATACCTACCCATAGACGGAGATGCTCTAAATATACATGCATACAAATGTACAAAAACGGTTAATGTTTATATACAAACGTCCAAACAAACATGCATACATACATACAAACAAACAAACATGCCCACAAATATGCATACATGAAGTTCACAATGCAGAATAAAAAACTAATAAAAATAATATTAAAAAATAATAAAAGAAGACAAATAAATAAAGAAGAACAACATTAATGATAACAATTTGGGCATATGTATGTGAGAATGTGTGCGTGTGTGTACGTGTGTGCATGTGGCGTGTGCGCGCGTGTGGTGTGTACGTGTGTAGCGGTAATGCATGCAGCTGCGTTATCTTGCAGCCCCGTCCAATCGTCATAACGTCGAATTTTCTCCGCTAAGGACTCGTCTTACAACATACAGTAGGATTTGAGATTATTTCTCATTGTTTTGAGGAGTTATTTTTAAGTGTTCTATTATTAATTTATTAATATAAAAATTCTCTTCTCAATATCTATAATTAATTAGTCGAGAGGTTTTTAATTAATTCGATTGAAGATTTAATTAATTAAATTAAATCATTTCATTATTATATCAATCGTTTCAAGATCTCCATCGTCCCTCTTCAGCTTAAGCGCTTTTCTCGCCGACAACGTGATTTTCGAAATTTTTTAAAAGAAGACAAATGGTGGGTCTCTTTTATTTTAAATTTTGTTTATTTTTGTTTGATTATTTTGGTCGTTGTTTTTGGTTAGAGAAAAATTTGAATTTTAGCTATCCCGGTGGCGTTTTCTATCAAATTAGTAGAAGCCGCATATTACGATTAAATTAAATTATTTATTCGCTGTGAAACTTAATTAGCAATTCAATTGAGATTTTGTAGAAACTTGTTTACACGCAAATAAACACGAAATTCGTTTTTTTATTTTTGCCATCATTCTTCATAACATCTCAAATGAAATTTATATGACAAAAAAATTTTTAGTTACACAAATAGGATCCAATGTAATTGTATTGTTGTGTAATGTAAAACATGCCTGTATGTCTGTTTGTCTGTCTGTTTGTCTGTCTGTTTGTCTGTCTGTTTGTCTGTCTGTTTGTCTGTCTGTTTGTCTGTCTGTTTGTCTGTCTGTTTGTCTGTCTGTTTGTCTGTCTGTTTGTCTGTCTGTTTGTCTGTCTGTTTGTCTGTCTAGTGCTAGCCTTCTACATCTAATAATGCATTTATTTATCTGCAATGCGTCAAAGGGGTGATTCATAATTCACTAACTGCTCAATGATAGCTGTACCATATTCAGTATAACATACTATACCATGTATGTGTATGTATGTATGTATGTGTGTGTTATATGCACTATCTATATTAACAATTGCATGTATATCAAATTCTGATTCTATCCTATATCTGAGCTAGGCTTTTTTTCCTCCTATTTGTAATATTTTACTATTTTTATTGTAAGACTGTTCACAGTTTTTGAGTTGGGAATAAGTTTGCTCTGTTGCCCATATTTTCCAAATTTTAATAAGCATCCAAAAAATTAAAATGGTGAGATGAGTTTTTAAATGTGTTTAAATAAAAATAAATAAATAAATCATAATATAGTTTGTAGTGGTATGAATTTTTAATTAAAAATTTTGGTATAGTTTTATTTATGGTGGATTGTTTTATATATTTTTTTCATACTGTGAACCATTTTTTTTTCGTAAAATAGGCTGATCAATTGACAGAAGAACAAATTGCCGGTTAGTGAAGTGTTTTCATATTTGCAAACATGCTGTGTTCAATGTTTGAATAGTGTTGTATGTAGTAATGTGGGTAGTAATGTAGTAATCAGTAATGTAAAAAATGTCTTATTTGATTTTTTTTTATGTGTGGTTTTGTGCTAGGACTTACACTTAGTTGATAGTCAGACATCTTTTAATTTAATAATAGTATTACTTCTATAATTTAATTTAAATAGCAAAAAATTATAGTTTGGAAGACTTTGGACTAAGGTTTAAAATATAAATAATTAAAGGCAGAAAGTTGAATGATGAAAGATATTTTAGAGAAAAAGTAGAATTTGACAATGAAGATCTACAAAGATGTTTGAAATTGAGTTTGAATAATTTTTTTAACCACATCTTCAACTGTCTGAAGTTGAAAACTGATGGTGGACTATGCATATGTTTGACCACCATGTTTCTAAAAATAAATTTCTTGTAATATTATCTATTTTATCATTTGATAATTTCAAACTTATAGAACAGAAATAATGGGTTGTACTTTATTTTCTGAACTGTAACCAACATTTCTAAACACCACACCACCTTCCATTCAGAATTCAAGGAAGCTTTCTCGCTTTTCGATAAGGATGGTGATGGTACCATTACAACAAAGGAGTTGGGCACCGTGATGAGGTCACTGGGGCAGAACCCAACAGAAGCTGAACTTCAGGACATGATCAATGAAGTTGATGCTGATGGTAAGTTTCTCGCTTTTTTCAGCTCATTCATCTCTCTGACTGACATTTAGCCACCATTATTTTATTTTATTATCACAAATTAGTCTTCATAGTCATCTTCACTGTAAGGAGTCTTGCCTTTATTTATTTTCAATATATAGCAAACATTTTTGTGCTCTTAAAAGCAATTTATTTTTAAAAAATATTTTAACTTAGAATGAACATATGACAACAGGCAAACACTAACAATGAATGAACAAACAGGTAATGGTACAATCGACTTCCCTGAATTCTTGACGATGATGGCTCGCAAGATGAAGGACACTGATTCGGAGGAGGAAATTCGTGAAGCATTTAGAGTTTTTGATAAGGACGGCAATGGATTCATATCGGCCGCCGAGTTGCGACATGTCATGACGAACCTCGGAGAGAAGCTGACAGACGAGGAAGTAGATGAGATGATCAGAGAGGCTGATATTGATGGTGATGGCCAAGTTAACTATGAAGGTACATTCATTCATTCATTTTTCCATTCCTCCTTTCATTCGTTCATTTGTTCACGCATTCTAATATACTCACCATTCATTTCTTCATCTTTGCATTCTTTTATACATTCAAATATACTTGTTCTCCTATTAATTAATTGGATTGTTTACCTATAATTATGATCCCATATACAATTCTTAGCCATTTAGCTTAAAAACAATCTGAATAATAAGAAAATTAATAATACGTAGCATAAAATAAATTCTTGAGTAGTAATAATAATAGAGCTAGCAATTGTTAAGCATTGCCATTTTGTTTTCTTTGTAACTATTGATTAGTTGGTCTCAACTAAATGGCTGGCTACACAAAACATAAACCAATGTTGAGTTTATCCATTTATTATGTGAGATAGATAGATCTGAAAGTTAAGCTGAACTTTAGATCAGGATTAAATTTAACTTTTTTAAAATAATCCAATCAGCTATATTTAGGGTAGGTGAATGAGGTATAAAAATTGTATAATGTAAAACACGTGGGTAATTTTTATCACTAATCTGATGGTGTTCTGGTTTAATATTAATGATAGTGCCATATAAGCATTTAGTGACTGGTGTCTCTATTCAACTAGGAATTCATTTGATAATAAAATTTCATTGAAGAGGATTTAGTATGATTAAGTTTAACAAATTATTAAAGGTTATTCACATCAGTTAACTAACGTAACTTAATACATCAGTGAGGATGTGTAGCCATCATTGCAAGATTTTGTGGTGATGATTAAGATTGCGGTGATGGTGAGGATGAAGATGAGGAGGAAATGATAATTTGGTGATCTGTTCTCTCTCTCACACTATTTTGAAAATGTCAAAACTAATGTAAGTATTAAGAGTATAATAATTGCTATAATTTTTTCTTTTGCAGAGTTTGTCACGATGATGATGAGTAAGTAGACTTAACTGGCATTCGAAGGATACCTGTACACTTGTTTGTATTTGTCTCTCTGTGTGCGTGTACGCGCGCGCGTGTGTGTGTACGTGTACTTGTCTTGATGCGCATTGAGAGAGTGCGTGTATAAACTCTGTTCATTCGTTTGCATGTTTGTTCATTTGTTTGTTCATCATTCGGCATATTGTTCTCTGCTGTGGATTGTTCAAGATTATAATAACTAATTAATATTCATAACTAATTAATATTCATAACTAATTATAATAATTTAATACTGTTTAAGCAAATTTTTTTTACTGAAAACTGATATAAGTAATAATAATTGGTGATAATGATGACGATTGGTATGAGATACATGATAGTAAAACAAATTGGACCTGGTGTTATATAATTTTTTTTTATCATTTCTCTTTGATGATCTAGATAATTAGTTAGCCGTTTTGTATGGGTGATTAATTGATTGATTGATTAATTGATTGATTGATTAATTGATTGATTGAATAATTGATTGATTAATTAATTAATTGGATCACCAAATGGTAACATCATTTCTAGCCATTATATATTATGTACTGCTATTCTAGTAGATACTAATACATACATACATGCATTCATTCATATACATATATTTTTTCCTATATATATATATATATATATATATATATTTATATCTAAATATGATTTGTATATTTTCACATTTTTTAAATACTACTGATGGTTGTTTGTCATCGTCGTCAGCATTTCGGCTGTAAGTATTGTTGCAATGATAGAACATTAACTGTCACTGCTGTGCTTAGAATGGGAATGATAATTAACATATGATGAAGATGATGGTGGTGAAGATGACGATGGTGAAGACGATGATGAAGATGACGATGATGGTAGCGATGGTAACATTCATTCTTCCATAGCCATTGATTTGTGCATTGATAATTATGTCCATACGATTTTCATTAGCATTACTCTGTCAAGGTCGTCATCGTTATCATTATCACATTGTTATCATCATATCCATTATCGTCATTGTCACTGCTTTGTTGTTATCTTGTGTTGGTTACCAAAAGAAACTAAATAAAATTTTAACTATAATTAATTAATTAATTATTCAATTACTTAAGCATATTTAATCATTTTATATTGTAATTCGTTATTTTTATGTCGCATTTTATTATCGTTATTATCTTCATTTGGCATGATGAGCTTTCTTTATTTTTCATTGTTTATTTTTTCTTGATATAATTATAATTACATAAATATTTGTTAATATTTCATATTAATGTGGTTCCGTGAATTACTTATATAGCCCCACACACACACACATACACACACATATTTATATATATATATATATATATATATATATATATATATATATATATATATATAGAAAGAGAGAGAAGTTTAAGCTTACATCTGGTTTCTAAAATTGAATAATTGATCCTTAAATAATAAGAATAATAGAAATAATAATAATAAAATGGATATAGAAAATAATAAGTAATTTCTGAGAAATTGTAGCTGCAGTTAATTGATTTGCGCTTCTCAAGGGTAGTCAAATAATGTTATCGATCAATATAATGCACATTCTCTTTCCTTCTCTTTCTCTCTCTCTCTCTTTCTCCTCTCTCCGTATTTTTTATTATTATTCTCGTTTTTGTTGTGAGTAAACTTCTAATCAAAGTAAAATTGCAAAAGAATCCGTTCAGTTATATATATTGTTAAATGGAACATTTATTTATGGCTTGTTATTGTTATTTGTTATTATTATTATTATTGTTGTTATTATTATTGATCTTTTTTCATCTAATACTACTACGACTAGTACTACTACTACTTTTCCAACTTGTATCTATGATTTATAAAATTTGTTGCTTACATTTTGAGTGTCGGATACAAATGGATTGGTCTGGTTAACAGCGGTGATGTGCATTGTATCGTAACATTAGTGATAAGTTTTCGTCTTTATCACATCTTCATCTTAATATTAGTTAGTTAGTTAATTAATTAATTAATTAATTAGTGGTTAATTGGGGTAGTTAAATGGTTGGTAATGCGTTTAATATTCCATCACGTCATCCTCTTAAACTCAATACCTACATTGATTGCTTTTGACTATATTTATAATAATAGTTACTGGTGACAATGACGTAATTTTCCTGATTAAATTGATAATAGTAATAATGATAAGAGAAGAAATGTGAATTGTGTCATCATCTATTTGTGCTAATTGACCCGACCTAGTTTCAAGCAACCTGATTGGTAGACTTCTTATGATGCTGCCAATAAACATTCCATCAAGCTCTTGGTTTATCCAGAACTGTGTAGAAATTGTATGCTTATGATATATATATATATATATATATATATATATATATATAGTGTGTTATTGTTGTTATAATTATCTTTTTTTAGTTTGAAGTTTTATTATGGTCTCTAAGTTTTTACTTCTTAAGTTCTTGTAGGTTTTTCATTTCTTTCTCTTTTAATTATATTTCTAAATTCTTTCTTTCCATCATTCGCCCCGTCATTCATTCAATATTTCACAAAATAATTCATCTTTCATGACTCAATTGTCCGTTCATTCGATCGTTCATGTTGAGTCCGGCTCTAGCAACTGTGCTTCAGATGGTCTGGTTCTTCTATCCATTCTCCCTTTCCATATTTCTCTACTGTTAACCAGTTATTCAGTTATGTGTCGACACAAATATATAAAGGTATATGCATACATACGTATAAGAAACTATACAACAAACACATACTATATAGATTTGTTTTCATTTCTGTTGTTGATATACTGCTAGAAGTTTCAAGTTTCTTGATAAATTAATATCGCTATTAATTCTACGTACTTGTACGAGCGTTAATATATATATATATATATATATATATATATATATATATATATTATATTTTATTATTTAATAGTTGAGATAACATTAAATTTCAATGATTTGATTCATTGCGGACTGACTGATTATTTATTATATCTTAATTGTTGTTTGTCTCTCTGTATATCTGCTGGTTGTTTGTATGTCTGGCTGTTTGATTGGTTGGCTGACTGATTGATTGACTCATTGATTGATCGGCCGGTTTGTTGAGTCTGACAAACAAAACGATTTGTCGTTTTTTCTCAATTTTTCTCTAATTTTTCCTGTAATAGTTTGTTGTTTTGCATTTTGAATAAATTCTCATAAACGTTCGTTTTTTGTGCTTTCATTTTATTTTCATTTCCCGAGTAAAAATACTTCTAGCAGGTTTTTGTGGCGACGGTGTTTAAAAAACTGCGCATTGCCAGCGGCTAATGTGTTGATGCTCGCTTGATTGATTAGATCAAAGTTAATAAATCACTCCTTTTAAAATCAACATCACGCAAATGCCTAAAGCGAGCGCTAATGCATCATTCTCCGATGTAACGACGGAGAAATTTTCGCGAGTTTGAATGGCGTCTGGTGGAGTTGGAATTCCAAACTGCGTGATCGCACTTGTGGTGTAGTCGTCGGTGTTTTGTTTGCTCGTCATGTTTAAGGCTGGGTTTCCAGTGGGTTTCTTCGCCGGTTCTGACCATAATTTCTTTGCTTTAGGTGGCTGTGGTTGACATTTTTATTGATAAATATGTATTCTAATTGATATTTAGTTTCATTGATGAATAATTATCTACGTAAACACAAGTTTTTGTTTGGGGCAAGCATCTTATCGAAAAAAGGGAAATTTTTGAAAGTTTACGCATAATTTCTGATTTATAATGGATCCAGTCGTTATAAGAATAAATTTGATAAAGACGCAGTCACCAAACGCGAGAAAGTTTATTACACTATACTATTTTAAAGACGAACAAACCCTGTTGAGAAGGCAGTAGAAGTTCTGCTTGAAATCAATGTCCTCCCGTCCAATTTTTTCAGTCCTGCATTTCAACTTTAATGTAACTTTTACGGATTGTTTGTATGAAAGTCGTGGAATTTTGAAGTAACATTTTGCCGTGAGTTGATTAGAGCTGGTTAAAATGTTAGAAAAATGTATGATTTGAAACGCGTTTAACATTAGATGCTTTGATTTTCAACAGAGTTATAATATTTGATCAATTAAAATGCTTGTGTCAATATATAAATCATCCTAATTCTAAATTCTCAGAAGATATGTACGTGAATGTGCTTTATCTTAGGACGTAACGGGTACGTGTGACTTGCTTCAAAATTATTGTAACGTAGATATAATATCATGTTGTACCAATTACATCATTATTAGACGTCTATTCAATTACTCTATCATTCGTTCATACGCTCATTCGTTCGTTCGTTCATTCCAGCGTTCAACACTCACGATAAACTCGTCTACCTCTTCACGAAAATAGAAACCAACCCAGCCACTTCATGTTCTCCACTCTACTCCAGGCATACGTGTACATGCACACAATTAGATAACTACAGCACTAGTGGGTACGTATCTCTCAACAACTCGATAGTAAATGACTATAAACGTTTGACATTACATTGTAGTAGCGATATAACATCATTACAAGAGCAATACAACATCATCGTAACAGCAATATAAATATATTTAACAGCGTTGTAACTGCCCTGTAACACAAGTGCAACAGCTGCTATAGAACCTTGCAGCGTCACAACATAACGTCTTACATAATATGCATGCAACATCGTAAACACAATTGTACGACGTCGAAACGAAATTTAACAGGTCACCCACAAAAATAATTTTTTCCTTTAAGCTTCCTTCTTCATTTATTATTTATTCCTTAAAGTTTCAACACTTCATTTTGTCGCCTGCTTTGTTCTCAACACACACAAACACACACCCGTACACACACGTACACAACACACACGTACACGTACATTATGTGCATATAAAGCTGTTATTTTAAAGTTCATAAGACATTGAATGAAACATTGAATAAAATATTTAATGAAATTTCATGTCTAACACAGAGGCACTGGTTGCCCAGTTCGATCGAAAACCGACACATACCGGATCTTGGCATCGGTATCCGAATGTTTTGTTGTTGGAACTGTCGGTAACAATGGCGGCAACGTGAATTTTCGCTGGTCTGCTGTTGTTCACTGATGTCATTGTGTGTGGATTTTTTTAATGATTAACCGCTTATAACATTTTTTTGAAATTTTGAAAATGTTAGTTACAACTTTTCATATTTTGAATCTGTTCACCTAATTTGTCGTGAAATTTTGTGATTTGCGGATCTAAAATGCTCAATGCTCAAAATTTTTACTACAGTGAAAAAATGATATTAAGAATTAACTACTCAAAATAAAGTTATCAATCTATGGATAGAGTGAATTCATTCGCAAACCTTGGATATATTTATAGCTCGGTGTGACGGATATGTTTTCAGGGATGTATCTCAGTGATGTGCCGAAGAATCGATAGTGACATCCCATTTTTTCGCTGCATCTCACGCCGCAGTAAGCTGTTCTTGTTAGATTGGTCGTGTTTGTATGCGTGTTTGTATCTGTATGTGTGTGTGTGTGCGTGCGTGTATGTGCGCACGCGCGCGTGTGTGTTCGTGCTAATATGATATGCGAGGAAAGAAAAGTTGTACATTATTCAGCAGACGTGTTTATTTTATTCAAATGGCCTGGTTGTACTTTCCATGGCAATGTACATAAGCAAAATGCCAGGCAGTGATGAGACACACCTGCTGCTACGTTTATGCCGAGGTTTATTGAGGCAGGATTGTACAATGAAATTAAAAGCAACGGTTGACAGAAAGTATAGCTATATTTCAATTTCACACAATAATAAGTCACGGAAAAGGATACATTTGCACAACATTTGCTAAATGAAATCAATGGATCAATTAAAATCAAATAATTCGCAGCCCAATTGAATTAGAGTAAAATAAAAGAATGTTGAGACCTTCGTTTAAAGTGAAGTTGAAGCTGTCACCAGCATTGTACACGTAGATCTTGTTGGCGTCTAGTGGCATGCACTCTATGTAATCTGCCCTCACTCCATCCACTCTCACATCAAATGTGAAGTTTCCAACTGCTGTGTATAGTGATTTGTGGAAAGAAAAAATTTTTCCGACTTATTATTTTTATATTGGTCATCCGAAACCAATCAAAGTTTTTATACAAAATTAAATTCAATAAAAAAAGAAGTCACAAATTAAAAATAAATTGTTAAAAAAAAACAAAAAAACCAACACGGAAAAAACAAATTAGACTTCCAGATTTGTTGATTGAGGAAGAATTTGAACCCGGCTTGCACGTTACTCCATCCTAGAACGTACAACCTGGTGTTGTAGCCCAACTTATCCGGGTTCATCTGGAACGTCACTCTCCCAAGAAGATGCATTCTGTAGACGACGAACGAGGCACACACAACTGGTGCGCTGCCTACTTCTCCCTGAACTGTTTTGGCGTTTGTTGTCAGGGGCAAATTTATTTTGAGGTTACATAATCAACGAACAAAAAACAGTTGACTGAACGAATAGAAATCTTAAATATAAACAAACGAACGAACAAACGAAAGAACAAACGAACGAACAAACGAACCTACAGTAAAAGGGTTGTAGGTATTTTTCCTATCAGTTTTAAAGTTGAAAATAATCTCGGCGGACTTTACGCTGGAGTCCTGCTCAATTTCTATCGGGTTCGTCAGGTGTTCCTTCATCTCGACAATAACCTATGGTCATTAAGGACGGTTATCCATCCACAAAATTTGCACATTAAACATGAATTATACGTCCAACAAAAAGAAAGTCATGTTATGTAGTATTGGAATTGTTGTACTTTGGCATATGTGCAGTTTTAACCGTTGCACTTTATCTGTCAGGGCATTGTATTTTAACAGGTATTTTTATGATGTGTGATACCTTAACTGTCGTATTTTATTATTATTTACGTGGTATTTTAACATCTTGGAGAAAAAAATACCAATTTATATCAACGTAACTTACGTTTAATTTTCTGGCTCTCAAATGCTCAGAAAGTTTCTCAGCCGAGTACATATCTCTTGTCTGGACGTTAATGAGCAAGTCATCAAGTGGTAGAAATATAACCTCACTACCATTCACTGTTCTTTGAGAATTCAACAGTCAACAAATTATAAATATAATTAAACAATAAATATTATTGAACAAATAATAATATTAACATTTATTATGTAAAAAAAATTAGTTTTAAGAGTTCATCAACTTAGATTCATAAATTTATTTTAGGAAAGTTTTTGCTGAGGTTGCATAAAATGTTTAAGGAATTTTTATTAAATTTAGAGATTTTAAATTTCTCACTCTGAGAATATTTCAAGACATTTTAACAACATATACATCTTCAGAATTTGAACAAATAAATCAGCCATTGAAACAAAACCAGAATAAGCTTTATGATTACTGTTTAGGTAAAAAAAGAAATACTTCGATATTATTGTTTGCTTGTTGTATTTTGATATGCTTTTGTTTACAGAGCGTTTGTAATTTTTAACCATTATTATTTTTTTATTAATTTATTTAGAGTGACTCGAAAGTTTATTATATAGAAATGATTTTATAAGCTATGGGACGACTAAATTCACTGAATAGACCAGTACACACACACAAGTAACACATGTATGTAACATCCAGTGGCCGATCTAGATAAAATGAAACGGGTGGGCCATGGTTTCCCCATCGTGGACAGTGTTGTTATTAAAAGTCCCTACCTCTTTCTCTGACCACTTCTCCATCACTTACGAAGTTCAGAGCGGATCTCAAGACCCATCAGTTTGCAAAATTCATTGAGGAGCGCGGTTGAACATCGCGGAAATAGCGCTTTATAAACTAATTGATTGATTGATTGAAAGTCAGTAAAACTCAGTTTTTGGACAGGATTATGTATCATTTTTAATATTTAGATACGAATAGTCGTCATTATGAAATACGCACTATAACTTTAAATCAATTATTTTTGGGAATGTGGCGCTGACTATAGTAAATTAAGCTGGTAGTTTTTAAAAGATTCAAATAGTATTCAAAAATGTATAATTTGCTAGTGGAAATCTCGACTTTTTGATATATAGTATCTTAAATCGACCGAATAGTTATTATTATGTATTATTATAGTTTAAAATTTTTTAAATTTAGTAATTGAAATCTTGACGTTTTTGATATATGGTATCCTGTAGTATCTATATAGATAGATGGTAAAACCAAAAGAAAAAAATATTTAGTTTGACAATTTGTTTTTAAGATCTTTGGCTTAAATGTAAACTTTCATTTTGATTTTTTTTATCAAAACAAATCGACAAAACTTTTAATTAAATTAAAAATGTCGAGTGACGAAGATGAGAACGTCGCAGAAGATTTAGAAAGTGAAAATGATGACGTCGATGATGACGTCAATGAGGATGAAGAAGAAGATGATGATGATAAAGACGACGACGACGAAGATGATCATGTCAGCAAGAAACCACGTGTCTACTTACCCGGAGAACCTCTGGCCCGGGGAGAACAGTTGGTGTACGACGAGAGTGCCTACGTCATGTACCAGCAGGCCAACACAGGTAACTTAATTTTATTAACTTGACATTAACACTATTAACAGTAATAAGTTGATTTATTTTTAAAATTAAATTATTAAAATTAAATATATTAATTATATTATGATAAAATTAATAACAAGAGCTATCTGTTGTTATTCATTCTTTTATTGACTCATCATCATGCATGTTATCCCGTTACAATGAAAATTAGTTAAACTTGGTTTTTTAATTTGATTCATTAATGATTAATTTTTATTGATTAGGAGCACCGTGTTTAAGTTTTGACATAATAGAGGACAAACTTGGGGAAAGCAGAGAATCATTTCCACTGACTTGCTACTTGGCGGCCGGCACCCAATCTCAAAATGCTCATTCAAACAGTGTCGTCGTCATGAAACTCTCAAACATGCATCCAATCAGGTCGAAGAAGAAGAAGAAGAAAGATGATGACGACGATGATGACAGTAGCAGCAGCAGCAGTAGTAGTGAAGAAGAGGATGATAATGAGGTAGGTGGAGAGGGTAAAAAAGCCTCCAAAATGGAAGCCGCCATGCTGAGGCATCCAGGAACAGTTAACAGGATCAGGGTTAGATATTATTTTCATCTAATAGATAAAATACATTTTTTTAAATTTAAAAGAAATCATAATTTTTTAAAACTGAATAATCATTTTAATGTATTTCTTTTAATTTAAAAAAATCAGACCACAAAAATAGGAGATGCCAATCTAGCAGCAACTTGGTCTGACACTGGAAAGGTGTACATATGGAACCTCACTGAACCCATGAAGGCAATTGATTCAAATCAGGGCGGGTCAAAGTTCAAATCAGACAAGCATTCATCACTGTTCTCATTCAGGGGTCATCAGATTGAAGGGTTTGCCCTGGATTGGTCATCTAAAGTGCCTGGTTGGTTGATTTGTGATTCTGGGAGCAATTTCAAATAATGATTGTTTAGTTGATTTGTTGCTTTTTTATTGACCAAATTAAATAAAGTGGTTGATTGAATAAGACATTTTATTAATAAAATATAATTTATCTTATGTTAATTATGATTCATTTGCGATGGTTGATATGATTTTTGTTTTCATATAATTAATGTCATATTTTACTCAATTTTTATGTAATTTGTTCATTTTCTACATAATTTATTTAGTTGTTATGTACTTAGGCAATTTTTTACTTAATTTAATTAATTGTTATGTAATTAGGTCGACTGGCGACGGGAGATTGCAAGAAGAACATTCACATCTGGTCGATGACCGAAGAAGGCAAGTGGGAGGTTGACCAGCGACCTCTTGTCGGTCACGAGAAATCCGTTGAAGATGTTCAGTGGTCACCGAGCGAGGCAAATGTAGGTCACATTATCACGTACATGTATGTTTAATTTCATGTAGATTCTAATTAGATCGCATTTTTGATGGATCAGGTTTTAGCATCCTGTTCCGTGGATCGAAGCATTCGAATATGGGATGTGAGATCTACTCCAAACAAGGCTTGCAAGATAACAATTGGTGATGCTCACGATAGTGATGTCAATGTCATCAGCTGGAATAAGTGAGTTGGCTGCTTGAAGGGTTGATGTTCTTTTTAGATGGTTGATTGAAGATGTTATGATTGATTATCAGTTGTGGCCGAAAGTAGGATGAATGTTTGAATGAATGATCGAACGTGATTAACAAACTTACCGGAGCACAATATTTTAGATGAATTATTGAAATGACCATGCAATTTCAATTAAGGTTGGAGTCTCGTTTCATATTATCTGGTGGTGATGATGGAGTCGTCAAAGTCTGGGACTTGAGCATGTGCAAGGTTGTTTCATCGAATCTCATCATCACCTTGATATTTTCTCTTCGTTCACTTTTTAATTGATCTGCTTGAATATTTTGTGATTTTCGCTTCTTATTTATATTTTGAAATAATTTTTTATGTAAACAGAAAAACTCTAGCGGCACATCACTGCAGCCTGTAGCTCGCTTCAAACACCACAGCCGACCAATCACGTCGATCGAATGGAACCCACACGACAGCACTGTTTTCGCAACCAGTGGAGAAGATGACCAGCTGACCATTTGGGATATTGCCGTAGAGACGGATGAAAAACCAAAGATTAAAAAGAATAACTCTCTAAATAAATATAGCACAGGTAACACTGAAAATATCAAAGGTGAGGTTGATCCAAAGAAAGAAGCGAAAGATAAAGGCAATGACGATGACGATGAAAAAGATGACACAGATGATGAAACCGCAGGGCCGTCAGAAACAAAAAAAGACTCAAAAACGGTTAAAGATGACGACGACCTTGACATCCTACCCCAGCTTTTATTCATACACCAGGGACAGAAGGAGATAAAAGAACTTCACTGGCACACGCAGCTACCTGGCGTCGTCATCAGCACTGCACTCGATGGCTTCAACATATTTAGGACTATCAGTGTTTAAACCGTGTGTCATATATAATGTCTATCTACTTCTATGTCTCTTATTTCAACTTGTTAATGTTTTTTTTTCAATTTTTAAATAAAACGGTTAAGAAACGAGTTGGACATTTTTAGTTTTACTCATCATTATAATTAGTCTAACGCTTTCTCGCGTGAATCATCATATCGTGAAGTGTTAATTTCAATCCGCGAAATTTACCTTTTATGTATGTATGCGTGAGTATGAGAACGATCGTGCGTGAGAAAGTGATTGTGTGTGCGCGTGTGGTTATTCAAATCGCACATTTGCGTTGATGTTGAAATATCTAGCGATGCGACTTACATTGAACATGCTATATGTGTGGGAAAGTGGAACATTGAATAAACTCAGAATAATTCAAAGGGGCAAAAATGGTGTACGACAGTGATGAAAGTGTGGGAAGAGTATATAAATTCATTGCACGCCGCGACGACAAGCTAATAAATGAAGCAACAATGGAAATAGTAAGGAGTATTTGTTTCACTTCAACATCAACGACACGTGCGAAAGAGTTTCAAATGTGAAGTTTGTACTTCCGAGATTAAATGACAAATTGATCGTCTATCGGTTTTATAAAAAAAAAAATTCAAAAATTTAATTTATTAGTATTAATGTGTCGAAAGTTTTGTTGTGTTGGTGTGTTAGTTTCCACGCAAGTAGGTGTAAACATACGACATTAATAACTTTTAGATTCGTACATTAAGTTGAACATTTGAAAACCTGATTTCATTTCTATTTAGTCCTCAGATACAACAATAATATCAACATACGATGTAGTGTAACAAGGTGCGCCGAAAAATTTGCGACTGATGATCAAAAAATTTTCCATGTATGTTATTTTATTTCTAGTGATGTTAAGATGAAAAAATGAACACCAGTTAACTCAAATAACATTAATTACGTCTCTAGTAACACACACATTCACAATAAAATGTTCAAGATAAGACCAGCAAGATACTTAAAATCGAACATATAAGCTTGCAATATATACAGCAAAAAAAGAGATTTGGTGCCTAATCAGATGCATATACAGATACTAGCTAATCATATTAATCTTGAATGAATGCGAGAGTTAGGCGAAATTAATATTGAATAAAAGAGAAGATAACGCGTCAATTAGGCGCGGATAACCTAGGTAGAACGTATAGGCAATCAAACCAATATAAAATAAAGATAATACCGTATTAGCGACGTGTGTGTGTGCTTGCGTGTGGATGGTGTCGTCGTGGAATGCTATGGCAAAATAAGAAGGCCAGCTACTGCTGTAACCAATGAATGAAAAGAAAATTTTTTCGAGATATTTGGTGGTTATTTAAATTAAGGAAAGTACTCCGTGTGAAATTTGAGATGGTATGCGGTGATGTTTAAACGAATAGCATATAGTGCAGAATTGATAGCTACGCCGATAAATATGCAAAACATATAAACTTCAATAAAAAACACGTCAATAAAAACTACAATAAATACACCTGTGTAACAAATTGCATAATCACATTTTCATTATAACAACAATCACATTAGTCACATCAATTACTACAAATGTAGTAATAATGACAGTTACCATTAAACACTAGAGTCCGGTGCAGTTTGCGGGTAACAAGTACCTACCCTACATAAACTTCATTGATTTAGCGGTTTGCAGATGCGGTTTACAGCGGATGCAGTTTCAAATATTCTTCTAAACTTTTAAATTTTCCGATTCTATCAAATTTATTTTCTTTGAACAAAATTAGAAAAATGTTATCTTATAAAACAATAAAGTTTTGCTAAAAAATGTCTATTTTTTATTGTCTTATTGTTACTATAAAGCAAAAATTTAATTAAATTGTCTCAGAGTTTTGTTTTTTTCTTAAAATTTTACGCCAAAAACTATAATTGCTTTTCTAAACGTTTTCTTTTTTAAACCTGGACGCGGGAATATGCGGATTAAAAATAACCCGAGCGGTTGCGGTTTGGAGAAACCTTGCCTGGCAGGACTCCATTAAGTATGTACTACATGGTACGTCTGTACGGGAAAAGTGAAGCTACATAACAAATTTAAAGTATTTGACATCTAAAAGTTCAGTTTAATATTCCGTCGTCTAATATTCCAAACATACGCATTTTTTAAATATTTGTACAACAGAATTTCCTATAAGAATTTGGTTCGATCGATCAATTGAATGATTGAGAAATAATTAAAATTTCATCAAAAACTAATCAAACACCGAAAAATATTTTTAAATTTCCCATCGGATTAGATAGGTAGCAGGCTAAACCTTTCATAATCTACCACCGAGCGGCTTGTAATAACTCAAAAGACTAGCAAGGTAAGCGACTTAAACATTCAAGCCCACTTTAACAGCTTCAGGTATTCGTTCTATATACCAAAGGTGGGTCTCCTTCGACGCCGTGGCTACGATGCCGCCGTTGTTTGGGGGGTCCTCGTTGGCACCGTACTCGATGTCAGACCCGCGGACATCCGTCAGGACTCCACCGACAGATCTGAGGACTGCCTCAGGCGCACATGTGTCCCATTTCTTGCAGCCCGTGTTCGCGAAGATGTACGCGTGTGCTTTGCCTTCTATCAAGTATAATACCTGAATGTATAAATGAATGAATGGATGACCGAATGAATGAATAAATAAACAACTGGACTAATTAATGACTAGATTGATGAACAGATCAGTGAGTGAAATAAATATTGGTTGAAACGTCAATCTGTGCTGGTTTAAAATCAACATTGCATTCTTAAAATGTTAAAACTTGAGTTTAGCAATAAAAAATTAATTCAAACATTTTGAGTGATACTCGTTTGAAATATGAAACAAATGGCAGGAAACATTATTCATAAAACATCATCCACAAAGTCCCTAACACCTTGAAGCCAGCCCCTCCGATTTTGATGACTTCACTGGCCTCACAGGCGTCAACAGCCATCCTGACCAGGTGCGTTTCATGCGAGCGAGTCGTTACGATTCGTCGGCAGTCTGTTGGCGGCGACTGCCTCGTCAGACCGAACGCTCCTTTCGTCAAAAGAAAAAAAAATCGAACCATTCACATTACGATATGATAAGACGCAGTTGGAAAAGACGTGATTCCATACAGCCTTTCATCAATTTAAATGCATTAGGCAGGTAACAATTGTATGTACTACATATAAATATAGATTCATTTGCGACGTTTCGTTCAACACTTCAGTTGAATTTAAGTGGTGTTCTGATATAAAAAAAAACACAAAATCAACACCTACACTCACATAAACACACACGTACATATACAGACACACGCACATAAACACACACACACACACCTACACACACATACAGACAAACACGCACACAGACAGGCATACACATCATAAAATTATGTATGCTCTATCAATTAGAAGAACAGGTATGCAGACAGCACTATCTCACATCCCATCCAACATCACTGTCAAATCCATTTCACTCTCACAAATACATATTCATCCAGGTGCATTATTCCAACAGGGAACTTACAAAAAGCTATAAATTCAATTAAATTTTTTGTATACACAAACACACACATGCACACACACACACACACGCACACACATCTATATACACACACCTATATACACACATATAGTATTGTTTCCTGTATTATTAGTTTACTAAAAAAATACTTTTTCATTGAGTCAGAAAATTGTGTGAATAGCTACATGAGAAAATTACGCTATATGAAATTAATATAATGAAGCAAGTAACATAGCTATACCATATACATGCATACAAGGTTACACACATATACATACACACATATAAACACGTACACGCATATGAACACGTACACACATATGAACACGTACACACACAGATAAACATACAGTATTTAAAAAAACAGCATGTTACTAATAGTTCAATCAATCAATCTTCGTTTTGCATCCAGAAACCCGGTTTCCCGAGGTAGGACGTTGTTTTCTTTGCCATCAACTTTTTGCGCCAAATTAGACGATCAGTTGTATCCATTTCATTTAAATTTAAATGTTACTAATAGTTGAATGAAATAAAACGTGTGAGAAATTAGTTTAACATTAAATGATGATTTCATAGGCTGTTTACTTTAACAATGTATATGGGTGTTGTGTATATTGAAAGCAAGCTCAAACACACACAACACATGCACACGTTTGCCTACACACGCCCACACACACACACACGCACACGCACACACACATGCATGGATGTGTGATTTTATTTAATGGAATATTTTTGTACATAAAACCATTTTTGTTTTGTCGTCTTACAGAAAGAAATCCACATTAAGCACCTATAACGATATAGCCTAGTTATTATTTATTAGCATAGGAATGAATCATAATGCTAATTTTATTTTATCTATCTGAGTAACAAAGTGCTTATGGCCTGTCTGTCTATCTATATTTAAATTTCGTGTATGTATGTGTATATATATATATATATATATATATATATATATGTGTGTGTGTGTGTGTGTGTGTGTGTGTGTGTGTGTGTGCGTGTGTAAGTACAAAAACATAAAATAGTACACTAGTAACAACAAAAGTAGAGCGTATACAAAATATTTTAAAGGAAAAAACTCCTACCTAAGCCAACTACGCCCCATATTGTTCGACCCAATTTGACATTACCAGCACCACAATCTTCAGCACTTTTACTACATTCACCACTACTACTGCTGCTGTTTTTGTTGTTACTACAGCTGCTGCTGTCGCCGTTGTCGCTACCACCGCATTTGTAGTATGGCTGATGAATGATTCCTGCTACTGCTTTGCCATCAACTGCAATGCCAATCAAAACTGTCACGTGATCAAGATGGCCTGTATGGTGATGATGATGATGGAGATGATGACGACGATGATGATGATGATGAAGATGATAATGAAGATGATGATGACGACAATGACATTTATGTGAGATGTTGTTTCAGTGAATGATAACATTGATACTAAGCAAATAAGCAGCACACATATCACGTACATACAAATACACATTTAATATGGTATTGTGATGGTATAATTTAAACATACATACATACAAACATATAAACACACAACACACGCACACACACATACATAAAAACAAACACACACACACACACAAACACACACACATAGGTACATACAAACTAACAAACATACAAAAACCACAAACGAAACATTTCACCTTTTGTGTACTCATTAGTGCCGTCTAATGGATCTACCCATACGCATAGCTGCATGGATGAAAAAAATTGACCACAAACGAATGAATGAATAAATGATTGAAGGAGTGAATAAACTATTGAATGATTGAATGAATGAATGAATGAATGGATAAATCAACAAACAAACAAGCAAACAAACAAATGAATAAATAAATGAATGAATGAACAAACGAATGAACTGAAATTATATTTCAAATTAATAAAAAAAATTTCATCCTCTCACATTATTTTGATTAGCTGACAGAAGTTGAGGCGGAAAATTTTTTTCCTGCTTGTAAACTTCATCATCCTCACCCTCCTCAATCCATTCAGAATTGTCGAACGTGTCCTCCTAAAAAAATTATTGTGTGTGCGTGCGTGCGTGAAGCCAGCACAAGTTCAATAAGAAAATGACCTTTAACCTCTAATTTAAAAATAACAAAATGGCGACCTCTTCCCCAATGACGGTTAGATCAGGGAACTTGTGATGGAGTGAGGCCAGTATACATTTCTGGACTCTCCTGTCTGCTTCTGTCTGCAGGTCATTGATGCCCTGACATATATTTTTGTTAAAACTAAAAGTAATATAAAATTAATATTATTGGTTATTTCGTTAATAAATAATTAATAAAATAAATAATTATAATTAAAACAATAAAACAAAAAAAACCTTATCCACATAAAAATAATAAAAAGAGCACAAAAAGAACCTTATCCACAATCTGTAGATTCCCTCCACTCATAACCTCCCTGATGATGTTACCACTCCTGTTGGCGATGGTAATAGATGAGGCAATCAGACGTAGCAGCATGGACCCCTCCTCTTTCGCCCCTTTTTTCTTCTGACTGTCTGACATTTTTTTCAGTCTGGGTCGCTCTTTGGATTTTATGTTTTTGTAATAAAAAGTACTGTATTTGGTATAGTAACTTTTGTTATTTGTGGCCAGTAGTTTCTTGCAGTGTAAATTATTATTTGAATTATTAAACGTTGATGAAGCTGGTGTCGTAATTATTGTTGATGAATGACATTGAAATAAAAAAGCCGCAGTAGTAAGCGAAAGTCTGCTGTTCTTATATAAGAGCGGATGAAACGGTCTGGTGAGGTTATTAATATTCATGAGTTTGCAATTAACCAATAAAATTTAACTTCTTCTTAAATGAATTCAGACCCAGCCAGTTCGGATGATTCACTGAAAATAAAATTCCTGTTTACGCTTCGCAACCGAAATTAGTTTATGTTTATTTATTAAAAGTTAATTTAAATTTATGCATCTGGGGTTTTCCCAAATAAATTAACCACAGTGCTGCGCCTTTACCAAAAAATAAAATTGTTTAAAAAAGTAATTTAATGCTGCCTGTTTAATTATTTAATCCGCTCTTATATAAGAACAGCAGACTTTCGCTTACTACTGCGGCTTCATTGTTTCAAGGAATTCAACACTACAAATGAATTTTTGACAAAAATTACCAATATTATACAAATATTAACCACTATTTTGCTTTATGCTCATTAAAACCACATCAAATTTCATGTCATGAAAGACATAATCATCAAAACAAAAAAAAATCAGTAGGCGGTAATTTTGAAGATGCTTTGCTAAGTTTGACAGCATACGACGCCACCATCCACGCTTCCATCATCAACTTCAAAATAGATCTTATCCTCAATTGACGAAGCTGACGGGCCAATGCTTTCAACATGGCGACAACCTTAACCCTATTATAAATACTATATTTACCAATTTACATAAATACTCTTAAATCATAAATACTACTTACCGCCATGAATTAATGATTCGTGGTTAATATGCACTTATTTTGATGCTAAACAACGCGACTGGTTATAAAGTAGTATGTTATGCAGGTAGGTTCGTTACATTTAAACCTAATCATGTAAACACAACCAAGGGGAATAATAAAACCATTTATTTAAAATGTTGAAGCAATTCTAGTGAAGGAAAAACAAAGAAAGAGAAAAAGTGAAAGAACAAATGAAATTTTCAAATGAATTTTTGGCAGGAATAGTAACATCACAATAAAAATAAATTACAATCAATCAATTTTAACAATTAATTAATTACAATAAGTATTAATTAAAAATAATTATTCAACAGAACAATATCATAATCGTAATAATAATCATCATAATCTCATCAGCATCGTCAACATCCTTATCATCACCATCATCATTTTCGTTTTCATCATCACCATCAGCTTCCTCATCATTCTCTTCTTCATCATCCTCTTCTTTTTCACCATCCCATCATTGCTGTTGCCCACCTACGTCAGCAACCAATCCTCTAGAACATTTTACAGTGAAATTAAATAAATACATCAACAAACAAATAAACAAACATTGAATAAATAAACAAACAAACAAAGGTACGAACGACCGAACCAACAAAAATGCAAGTTTAAAAATATTTATAGAAGTTAAAAGCGAACCAAAAGAAAAAACCGAACATGGCAAACCTTCTAATTCACTGAGATTAGACAAGCATTCCTTGGCTTTGTAATGCTTAAAAGCTGTTACACAGTTAAACGTAGCTGCCTCTAAGAAACACTGTTCAAATGCGTTCTGATCCTAAATTTTTTTACAAAAATAGATCAATAAATTATAATAATACTCATCTTGTAATGTAACTCGGTGAGACAATGAACATTGAACATGTAATGTAATGTGATGTGATGGTGTAAACTACATGTAAGCTGATGATGTTATTTATGTAACATGATGAAACAATACAATACAATGAATACAAACATTGTTGTTAACTTTAAAAATCTGTTTTGAATCCATCTTGCTACAAATACTCTCTTCACAAAGAGCATCGAAACTTAAATTTTCCAAGTGAATGCTCAAAAATTTACAAGAAGTTTCACCACTTTTCCTGATGTTGTCTCTACTTTTAGTTTTTTTCAAAATGTTGTTTTTCTTGTTTTCAAATGCTCCATAGGTTGCACAACCTTTCTCAGCTTTTCTGCTTTTTGCGTTTGTTGACTTAGCAAACTCAGCATTAGCTGTTTTTGTTGTTGTTGGCATCGTTGCTTTTGTCTGGTCTGAAGTTGGTTTCGGTTCTGGCATCTTCGCCCCCATGCTTAGTGATGCCGGTGTTTTTGATGTTGGTGTTTTTGACTTTGTTGCACTTTTGAAAACCCGTCGAAGAATGTTCTTTTTTCTCTTTCCAGCTTTGTTTGTCAAACCTGGAAATAAATAATCATCAGGTTGCAGCTGTTGACGCTGTGGTTGTTGCAGCAGATGCTCTTGCTGTTGTGGTTGTTGTTGAGGATCAATATAACGTAGTGCCTCTCGTTGTCCAGAAGGATGACCTGACCTTATATTAATGTTTCTCACTGTGTCTTCCACGTCACCAGCTGGCAGTTCACGTGAGCTAATGTGAGGTACTTTGTCTCTGAGTAGTTGGATGTTGTAAGTATTGTGAGAGTCTGGATTTCGTTGGTGATAGGCGCCGCTGCAATGAGGTTTCAAAATGTCGTCGACAAGGACGGAGCATCGAGGCAGATAGTTGCAAGTGAGTTGCTGCAACTGCATCAACTCCCGGCTATCAACAAATCTCGTTTCAACATCACCCTCATTCAAACAATTATTATTCATCTCTTCATTGTTGTTGTTGTTGTTGTGCTGCTTTTTGGAGTGAAGTTTTTGTCGTTTTTTTGCAATAGGTGACAACTGGAGCTAATATGGAATGATTAATAATAAGAGAATAGATGTATTCAATTGTTATACTTGAGCATTTATAATGAAAATAATTAAGAATTATTCAATAATAATATAACCAAATTATATGAAATTCATGAAACTACCAAACAAGTAAATAGACGAAACTAAAAGTTTAGCAAAGAAATAAACGCCCAAACTTGATTTAACAGAGCATCATCATTGTCAGCTTCTTCATCTATAACAGTACTGCACAAATTTGTTCTTTGATACTTTTGTTGTAGCTGATGTTGTTGCTGCTGCTGATATTGTTTTGGTTGTGGTGTTTCCAGCTGCACATCAATTCCTAAATCTTCATCAAAAATTATTTTTCCTAAACTACAAACTTCACTGACATTGCTCTTGCTGACGTTATCAATGTTGTTAATACTGCCGTTGTAACTTTCAACAAGTCTATCAGCAACTATTGAAGTAGCAGTTGTAGTAGTAGCAGCTGTGTTGGTGGTTATGGCAGCTGTAGTAGAAGTAATAGCAGCTGTAGTAGAAGTAATAGCAGCTGTAGTAGAAGTAATAGCAGCTGTAGTAGAAGTAATAGCAGCTGTAGTAGTAATAGTAGCAATCCCAACATTTGGGGCAGTGGTAATAGTAGTAGTAACGTTATCCTGAGTAATGAGGTTGACATTAACATTCTCAGTTTTACTGGTTTTATTTTTAGCAGAGTTCTTTAACTTTTTTGAAAATGGTTTGCCGCTCCCAACGTTAAAAGTAACCTTTCTTCGTTTACCGCGTGTAAAGTAATCAATTACACTGCACTCAGCTTGGTCGTTATTTTTGGCATCTTTATTAACGTGCATACCATTTCTGTTCTGTGGTTTCTTATTGAATAAAGCTACTGTTGGAGTTGTAGTTTCTAACTCATGAACTTTCTCAGTGGAACATTTATTAAAACTAGTTTTGCCAGCACCAGTTGTTGTAGTAATAGCGTTAGCAGCTCCACCATTAACGTCTGTAGTAGTCACATCTTTATCAATAGCAATAACATCTTTCAAGACAATGCATTTTTCCATAATGATAGCTGTAGTAACAGCAACACTTTTGGGGGCTATTGTTGTAGCATTAATAACCATTGTAGTAGTAGTGGCGACAGCAGAAGTATCAGTACTAGCTGCATCAGAAACCACAGCTGTAGTGGTAACACATGTAGTAGCAACGGCTGTAGTTGTAGAAGCAACCACATCGGCTATAGTAGTTCCTTTAGAACCAGCATCAGTAGTAGTAGTAGTAGTAGTAGTAATACTAGTAGCAGCAGTAGTAATAGTATTAGCAGTAAGAACATTACTTTTAGCAGCAGCAATAGCATCAAAAATACCAAATGTCGCGGAGGTGACTATAGAAGTAACAGTGCTAGGCAAAACTTTAGAAGTCAGATGAGTTTTATGTAAACTAATAACCGGGAAAACATCTGTTAATTTTACAATTGATGTTGTTAAAGGACTGCATGCAACAGATGCAATAGTAGAAGATATTACAATAGGTGTAGTAATCGTAGAGGTAGTAGTAGCGGTAATGGTAGTAGCAGTAATAGTAGTAGTTGTAGTAGAAGTAGAGGCAGCAGATGTGGTTGACGCTGTTGCCATTTTTGATGATCTTGCTACTGATGTTATTGAACTGGTTGTGGTTCCTTGTGATGGCTTTGATGTCATTACTGAATTTGAAATAATTAATTTTCCTGCTGTTTCTGTCGTTGCTGATGTTATTAATGATTTTGAGGACATTACTAAATTTGTTGCTATCGGTGTACTCGTTGTTAATGTTGGCATTTTCATCATTACAAACTTTGGTGGTATAGGTCTTGCTAATTTTGAAGTGGCTTCTAACGACGTCGTTGTTGTTGTTATAGATGTTGCAAAAGATGTTTTTGATGCTGCTGCTACTGTTGTTGTTGAGCAAACAAGTTTAACTTGCTTCTGTGCAGTGACAGATGGATCAACAGAAAACTTTGAGCTGTCAACATTCATGGATTTAGAATTATTAATATTATTATTCTTACTACCATTGCTGTGGTTACCTGTGCTGATAAGCTTGCTGGCAGGAATAGTCGCTTGTTGGCAATGTTGTTGTTGAAATCGAAATTGTTTTTGTTGGTCTTGTTGCGGCTGTTGTTGATGATGTTGTAGT